ATATATATAAAATATATATGTATATAAATAGCTATTCAGCATGCAAAAATTGTAGTGATTTCCAAAATCTGATTACAAAATCCATACCAGTCACACACATGGTCTGCTGAAAGGTTATATGAGATTTTCCTGGTTGAACCATGACCTCCACTTTAGCGGCCTCAGGGCTATCTCACTGCAAGCAGCCACCCTCATCCATCAGCCTCTCTTCATTGGAATGGATTCATCAAAATGCAGAAGTACCTCCCAACTTCCAAATCTGTATTTCAGCTTTTTGCCTTTGCCCATTCGGGAAGCAGAGAGGGGGAAAAAATCCTGCTGTGTATGACTAAAGCTTTGATATTACACTCTTTAGTGGAACCAAACTTCCAGCATCTCCTCTGTGCTGCCATCCCTTGCGACAGCATCACCTAGGAGCTTGGCAGGATGGACGCACCGCAGACCGGAATAGGACACATCCCAGCTTGGTAATGATAGTTTGTTCCAGAAAGAGTGCAGCTTGCTTTCCCATGAGGGACTGTTTCTCACCATGGCTGTTGGCTGAGGGATCCCTCCTTACCTTGCAGGGAAGCTCTATTTGGCAAAACCAGCACTGAAGGAGTCAGGTCAAGATACTTCTACAGTAAGCAATATTAGCAAGTGTATACACTGATTACAGATTTTTACCTGTTCTACAAATATTTGTACACTGTAAAGCCTGACAGGTAATGGGAACTCTTCCCACCCCACAAGTAAGAAAATATTCCTCTATGCCTCCTTTATGCTGAAAACAATTTTTTCCAAGTTAGCTGCAAAAGAAAAAAACATAGCACAAAAGGCGCATTTCAGCTGAATATGAAAGAAATCAAGGACCAGCAAATACAGAAATCGTTTCTGGAAAGTATTAGCGACTTTAAGCTTAAACTTCATAAATATATTGCAATAAGCAAGTGTCAGATGGGAGTCTGAAGACACTGAGTCTGTTCCTAATACTGTAATTAATTTGCTGTTTGGCCTCGGGCGTAACGCTTCATTTCTTTAGTTTCCCACAGCCACAAATGATGGTGGTGTGGGGGGAAGAAGAGATATTCGTGCATCAGTGCCTCCTTCTCTCCGCACCATGGCATGAACCCTGCGCTGTGCTGGGGAGGTACTGGAGAGGCACTGCAGCTCCCTGACCCCACTGCTGAGCCTCCCCGCTGGCCCCTGCGCTCCTACGACTCCATCGCTTCCAAAGGAAGTAGTTTCTACAGCTAAAGAGAGCTAAAGAAGTGCTGCTGCAGCAGTCCTTGAACTATGCAACTGAACAGATCACTTTTTCCTTTCAGTTTGGGGATGCTGTGACTTCATGAACCAAGTACCATGAAAGTGAAGCTCATATATTTCTCACATAGCCAAAACCTGTGTATGGATGTTTAATATTACAAGCAAAAGAAAATGACTAGCTACTTCACTTGTTAGTCATGAAGATGGTTTCTACTGGATCAGCAATGAAGATGTGAGGATTAATTTATTTGGGAGTCAGTAAGAGACTGATGAATCCAGCCCACTGAGACAGGAGATGTAATTCTCTGTGTGTCTGAAGATACAAGCTCTTCACCCACACAAATCCCTCTGGAAATGCACATTTGTCTCACCGAAGTGCAAGTTACCCACAGGTATCAACACTGATTGAACACTGTCCTGGAGCAGTAACGTTGGCTGTGGCATCGCTTGGCCGTCAGAGTCATCCGTCAGTCCAGTTCTCCACAGTCCCCATCCCTGAATGATACTGCAGCGATGATTCCCTCGACAAGGAAAAGCTTTGTGAGTACAGGAATTCGTTCGCCGCGTTTAGGTGCGGAGAGGGGGGTTTTCTCTCACACACAGATGGGTGCACCCTTTCCCTTGGGAAAGATGAAGCAGGAACGCGCTCCCGAACCTGAGACTGGGACAGCTGGTTGTAGACACTGAAGTGGCTGTTACCTGGTGGCTGCGAGCCTTGACCCGTGATGGACGGGAGCCGCGGCATCATGGTGGTGGCAGTGAAATGAGCAGGGAAAGGCTGGTAAGGGACAGTTTCCATTGTCTGAACGCTGTAGCTGGTGTAAGGTGCAACAGAAGTCCACATATTGCAGCTCAAGGGGGGAGGTGGAGGTGGCAAGTCATCGACCGTTGAGACACCAGCAATTTCAGGCCCAGAACTAGAGTACATGCACGCTTCCCTTGGAGTCACCTCACTGCAATAGGAAGGGCTTAACATCTGCTGATCGTACGGAGGTGGGGAACGGAAGTAGTGATCATCTCCTACAGAAGAGGAGGCTTCCAGGTAGGAGCGTTTGCAGGGCAGGTCCAGGTGCCGAGCACTTTCTGCAAGTAGAAAAAAATACACGTTCAGGAGCAGCTCCCAGAGCAATGGTGTTTAACAGCAATCTGCTAAGAGCCTGGAGTGGTTTTATGGAGTCCCCTTAGAAGCTGAGCATGCGATCTGTGACCATTTCACTAAACAACTAGTGCTCTTTTTCAGATTAATCCAGCTAAACCATTTTAGTTTGGAAAGACAATGTACAACATCAAAAAGACATTGTGTTGCAAATGTCAGGCTAATCCCCTTGGCCTCAAAGCCTTCTGGTGACATTTGTCAGGTTAAGTGAGAAAGTTGGGCTACTATTCTCACATCAGAGATTACTTCACGTTCATCCAGATAACAGAGGTCCCTGACACTCTCGCAGTGGTACTCCTGACAAATTCAAGAAGTCTCTTAGAAGGTCTTATCGCAGCCTGCCTTCCTGTCACTACAAAAATGACCATACATTTCCCAGATATCCATGTCAAAAGCTGCAGAAATATTTCCAGATAAAGGGGCCTTTTCCCAGTCATCAGTCTTTCTCCTCAGCTTTACACTGAGCTGTAGCCCCTCTCCTGCACATTACAATGACTGTGGCTGTGTTTACCAGCAGCTTTCTGTTAGTTGTTAGGAGTGTTTTCTGGATGAATTAGTGAATTCATCTGCAGATTAAACATCTGCTAAAACTACACATTTGCCTTGCAGTCCTCATTACTGGTGCTGTTAGATTCTTCATTTGCCCATGATCAGAGGATCCTCACAGCTTAAATAAATTAGCAGCCAATGAGACATGCAAATAGAAGGATTTTTTTTTCTCTGCAAAATTTTTCCGTTTAACTTAAACGATTCCATGATCTCATCTGATGCTGGGCTAAAAGGAAGAGAATGTAGTTACAGCTCACTTAGACTTGAGAACTAGTGGATAAGAAGAAAGGGACGCTTACACCAAGCTAGCATGGTCCCAGTAATCTGCAGACATCAAGAGAATTGCTAATGGCTTTGTCCTGGAATAGTGCTGAATGTCTATAGCTTCATTAATGCTAATGGCAGCGTCAGAATATCTCAGGATAGATAAAGCCTCCTCCAAACACTTATTAATTCATCTGAGTCTATCAGTGGATAACTTTCCAGTGTAGCCTTGTGCCATTTGAATTATGCATTCTGATTTTTTTGAGGTGGGTCTCTTGACTTAGAGTCTGAATTGTTTTCTATGGGACCAAACCACTAATTACTGCCCCAAAACCCAGCCCTTGGACCCTGACCCTCCAAAACACTTTGATCCACATCAGTATCTTTGAAGATCAAGGCCTGAGAGACCAATCCAAAACAAACTAGAATTAGCAGTAAGCTTTCAGTGCTCATGCTCCTAGGTTTATTTGCTGTAATATTTATTTAGCTGTAAACTCAAGTTACCTCTTCTTTTTAAGCAGTGATAGAAGAGCCCTGAATCTCTCTGTGCTGTGAAGGTGTTGAGTGGCAGATCTTGAGTATCTGAAGCTGCAAATTGCATGTGAGCACCGTTCTCATACTGATAATGTTGAAGAGTCTGGTGATTCGTGTGAAGTGGGTTAACATCTGGCTTTGTTGAAAGTTGGCCATGACTGGACACCAGCCTCTGCCTCATGATGCTTTTGGAAATTACTGGATATTCTTTGCTGAAAGAGGTGAGAAAAAATATTACCAGATACATAGCAATCAGCATTAATAGAAAGATGAAATAATAGTTTGGCTTCACTGGAGCATCTCCATCCAGTGTCTTCAAAACTCTTTGCCAAATGTGATGAACTCATATTCACTGCATTCTGCTGGGTGGGGGCAAGTATTAAGATAACACGCAGAGTGTGTCACTGAATTACAGGAAGAGCTTTTCAGGGGTATATATGGCATTGAAAGCCCTAATGCCCTCAAGCACGAACAAATGTGGTGCCCCGTTGCATAGGTACTTTATACTTCTCCAGAGAGGTTCAGCACATTAGTAGCAGAATAAGGATTAAAGCTCTGCTGTAAGGCTGTATTTCTGCACAGGGCACAGGGCTCAAGGGTGTGTGTCAGACACTGCCTGTCTATACATGCTGCTTAGGTTCAGGGCACCCACACATACACATGAGCACAAGAGGTGCACTGCAGCAGCTCCCTGATCCCGATGAGCAGGCCACCCCACTAAGCACGTTCTTGCCATCATCCCTCCTGCCCACCACCCCTCCTCACACCCCTCAGCTGTACCTTTGCAGCCGCGCCACACGCAGGTCACTGTCGTCGCTCCCCCTGAATCCCTTGGCAAAAGGATTGTTCTCAATCTTCAGCTGGGTTATCTTTAAAAGAATGAAACCAAGCAGAAAGCATTTGAAAATAGATCAGGTCAAAAGATGCAGCAGCAGGTGTGAGGCTGGAGGTCTCCACATGTCCTGTCCTGTGTGACACTCCGTGAAATGAAGAGTCCACAAGAGTTTCAGCCATTTAAAGATGTAGTGGCAGAGATGGTGCCTCTGCCTTCAGCACTGAGAGTGAAACTGAGCTGTGAAGTTCAGTGCTAAATCTTGCAGAAGCAGCTTTTCAGTCTTATTCTGGGTGCTGTGTTCTTATTCTGGGCTCTTGTTAGAGAGAATATATTTGTCTGATTTAAAAGTAAGTCTCCTATGTTTCATGTTAGAAAGCCCTGTTCCTTATGGTGTGGCTCTCCCTCATTTCCATAACAATTTCATATATCTTTATGTCCGTCATTCAGTCATTTTTCCTCTGTGAAACGAGTAATAACTCAAATAGTGCTTTATCTTTAGGCAAGAGAAAGCTGCTGTGTTTTTACAAGAAGTGTCTTCCCCCACCAAGAGCTACAGTGTATTAAAAGGGTCAAAATGCCTTAAAATTGACTTAGTGTAGACTTAATTTTGATGGAGCTCAGCTTTTGTAAGAAAGCTATGAAGGATCTGCCATTTCATGAAAATTCTGTTAAACATAATCATGTGTGAAATTTCCTTTAGAATATTCACTAGTTTCTCTATCTTACAGCCCCAGTAAATAGAGTTTTCCCTTGCCAATCCTGCCACCTCATCCCTTCCCTTTACAAGGCAGGCACATACCAAAGCCATGCAATGGTCAGGAATGCTGGGAAGAGGTAGTTGTCCAGTGGAACGTGAAAATAATCCATCTCTTTAACAAAGGATTTTGTAAAGACAAGAATGTAGTGACCGAGATCACCTAGAGGGCTTCAGAAGCCAGAACAGCACCAGAACATTCATAGGGACACAGGAACTCCGAAAAATATCCCTTGTCCACCTCCTGTACATGTGTCTGTGTACAAACATATTGCTAAGACCCTTTGACAGTAAGGTTATAGACAGGTCTAACACATGTCATGGACAGAACCAGGTCTTAGTAATGTGTTTCCCTACTAAGGGGCACCAGTGGGCAGAATCATCTCCTTGGGCATCCAGCCATGAAAAGACCTTTTCCAGGAGGTGGCGAGGTGACAGCATGGCAGGACACTGGTGGGGAGGTGAGGACGTGTGTCTCTCTGCAGACCCACTGCCCTTGGGTCCCCTCTCTGTCTGAGGCAGCACAGCCCTGCTCTCCCCTGCTAGCCAGCCACAGGCTTGCACCAGCCTGCATGTGATTTCAGCGGTGAGGATAACAAGCAAGTTCTGCATTTGGATGGATTTGCAAGAGGGTTGCTACAAAAAATATCCCTTACCAAAAAACTCCTGAGAAAACAGCTGGCCAGTGTCTGCGATAGAGAAGGAAGGTGGTGACGTGAATTTAACCAGCCTCAAGGGCTCAAGGTTTTCCTCTCTTCTCCTGCAGCCTGCAGTGGTTTCAGGGTAGCTCCCAATCATCTGATAAACCACAAGAAGCGTAGAGCCCTTCCTAACCCACAGCCTGACATCAGGTTTGTACATTATAATTTAGTTTTGTTATTTAGTGACTGAGGTTTTCCTCTGACATGAGCAGAATCAGGGCTTCAGTACCTCCTTGTCACCTTCCCCTAGCTTCATCCAACTCAGGAGGGAGTTTTGAGTAAACTATCCTCACTGACCTGTACTCAGGGGTAGCTTCTGTCACCAGCTTTCCATCTCCAGGAGCCCACAGTCAGCGCTGTAACCAAGACTCACTTTTTGTTTAGAAAGACAATTATTCACTTCTTGCAAGCTGGATATTTCTGAGCTTAAAACACTTCAGTGGTTTGTTTCTTCTAAAAGATACCCAGACCAGGTTTTAAATTGTTAATGCCTAAGGGAAATAGGTAAAACCATTCAGATATTGCTCTGAGGTTGTGATTTTCTTGAGACTGCAGTGAGGTTCTGGTGAGAGCTTCTGCCTCCCGCTCCTCTGCGCTGGGCAGCATCCAACCCTCCCACCTGCAGGTCACAGAGCAAAAGCTGGGCAGCACAAGGCAGCTCCTGCTGGGATCTTCACAAAAGAATTAGGGCTTGTCTGGGCTTTTTCCCTAATTCTGCCAGGTCCGCTCTGTGCTGCCACCCAGCTACCAGCCTCCCTCCAGCAGTGCTTGTATGGCAATGGCAGTGGAAGTATTAAGTTTATGAAGCACTTTGGGAACTTTAGGTATGAAAGGCACTATTGACATTTTAAGTAGGTATTAAATAAGCTCTTTTGAGCCTTTTTGGTTAGCCGTGTTTGGGCAACTGGTCATTTTACACCAACAGCTACAACTCTTCAAACAGGATTCACTCCAGTGTCCGAACAGGTACTCCTGGGGTTTTTTCCCCCCATAACACACACATCCATATTTCTGCTCTGAGTCTTTTAACGGGCTTACTAATTGCAAACTCTTGCAAGGATTCTATTCTTCAAGCATCAAAGGGCATATGGGCATCCTGCTTGGGAGGAAAAGGTCTGGTCGGATTACTGGGGAGGAAGAATTTCACATATGTTCCTGTTCCTGTAGTATTTTCCTATGAATGTGTATAGAAGGAGCCGATACAGTAACACATGGCAGATTTCACATTCAGAGAGCTCCAGCACTGCTACTTTATTCAGCACCTTTATGAATCCTGATTCTCCAATTAATCCTCCTGCAGTTGGACTTCACCATTAGGAAAACTGCAGGGGAAGCAGGAGCTTGTGCAAAGGCAGGAAAATCAGTAGCAGGATTGAAAAAGGAGCCATGCCATCCCCTGCCTGTCATCCTCTCCTCTCCCTGCCTTGGTGACAGATCACCTGCTGTCACGGGGAGGTGATAATTAAATGTCACATTGCTGGTCATCCTGCTAGTAGCCTGGGTTGATAAAATCATCAGACAGAACCCTACCTACTGCTGCTGCTACTGACATGCTCAAAGAGAGAAGCCAAACCCTACAACACATGGGTATCTGTGACACACCCCCAAAGCACAGAACCGAGCCGTTGTACTCTATATCCCCCCAAAACAAACCTAAATCCCCTCCTGCCTTCATGTGCTAACCACAGAGCAGGCTCTTAGCTGCATTTTTATGGTTACGTTCCTCGTATGTCCCACTAAATACACATACTATAATTACTTTTCACTGTAGATTTATGAGCACGATTTACTAGTCATTATTAGATTTGCTCGCTGTTTTGAATGACATTTTAGCGCTTATGAGCACGCCAATTCATTAGTGTTTGGACTCGCAGGGTTTGCCAAGATATTGTTAAGCCAGCGATGTCCATGCTGATCCTTAAATGCATCCTCTGGCTCATCCCTCTTCCTTAATGCTGGGATGGAAACTTTTCTTCTAAAGCAGGCATTCTGCTGCACAATAGTAACATAGCAGGCTCCCCCCCTCCCTACAAGCAAACAGATCCCATTCATCAAAGCACAGCACTGGTGTGCCGCAGCAATTTGAAAGATCATTTTGCAGCTATTGACAGCAAAAGCCCATGAAGAGAAATTAAGCAATTTTAGCCCAAAAAGCAGCGTACCTTGTGATTCTGGTAGGAGGTCACTGATATAAAGGATGTCTCTGGAAAAACGTGGGTGCAGAAGGCTGTGTTCTTTGACCCAAAAGCGTTGTTCTCATCCGCCTTCACAATATGCAGTCGTGGTTGGTATTTATGCATTGAATTAAGAATTATCTGAAAAACAATTGATGCTAAAGTGAGAAATTCAATTCAAAGAAAAAGAAAAAAAAGAGACAAGCCATAGCTATTGGACACAATATTTTTACTAGCAGGACACAAAAGCTCACTAGTGCTCAGCTTTAGCTTTGCTTTCAAATTAGAGGGGAAAATTACATTATATAAATGCACAGAAACCAAGACAGAAAAGGTATCTGCTGCTCTGGCAAGCAGCACTGAACTTAAAGCTTTCCTGGTAAACCCTCATTTTCTCACTGCTATTGGATAGAGTCAGTCTGGGTGGAAAAAAAGTCATAAAGTTGTTTTCCCAGCTCGTGCTGAAGCTGTACAATATAATTCACCAGCAGTCTGGTCCGTAAAGAATCCTAATAAATACTTTACTGAGCTGAAAAATACACAGTTTATCAGGGGCAAAAAAATCACAGAAACCACAGGGAGGAGAAAAGAAGGAAAAAAAAGCCAGTTATTTTTATCTGCTGGTAAAAGAAAACTACAAAAGAGCAGATTTTTTTCCCCCCTCCTGTTTGTGGAGTGGCTCCGTGTGGGTGGCTGGGTCCCCACACCTCTCAGGGCTCCTCAACAGAGCATTAGAGGCCAAGTGGGGCTGCCCATCCCAGCACTGATCTTCCACAAAGAAGGACGTGCCCAAATGCTACAGAAAAATATGGCTTTAAGAAATGGAGCTTCTTTTAAGAACTGGGATGGTTTTAAGAAAAGCTTTTGTTCCTTTTACCAGGCAAAGAAGAAATAACGCTTTCTTGTTTTCTTTGCATAACCCTTTTCAATGTCTTCTTTCCTCTCCTAAATTGGGAGTGTGTCCTCCCCAGGCCCAGCTGGTCTTACAGACAAGTTGATCTCCAGCCAGGCTGACACCCTGGTGCCCAAAGCATCTGGCAAGGTCATGTCCGTTCCTGATGGAGACACAGGCAAAGGGCCAAGTAGAGAAGACTGCAAAGGGTGATGTTTTCAACTTGTGGTAAATAAAAGGGGAGATGGATGTACAGAATGCATCACTTTACACTACTTGTGGATTTAGCCAATTTTAAATGAGAATTACCAAGAAACAGAAGACATTTGCTGTGTGGTTGGCTTTTGTGTCAGGAACCCTTTCTATTTGGTGCCTGCCCATGCCGAGGAGAGCTCACAGCGACGGCGCTGCTCTGTGTGCTCCGGCTGGGACAGGAGGTAACGTACGGAGCTTGTGCTCTTTAAGTCCCTTCGTCTGGCTACACGTAACTCTGCCCACAGTAGCTGGCTGCATTATATACCACTTAAATGCAATTTTTATTGTTGACATTTTCCAGACAACCCTCCCTGCTCCCCAAGAGAGAGAATGAGGAATTTTTGGCATTTTATCAGCTTTGCATCAAGTCTCTTAACCACTTTGTGGCTGTTGATGTGCAGGGTGTAGAGCTGAGAGGGTCGGCTCAGGTTTTCAGTTGGGGCCTTTTCTCTGCTTTCATGTATCAGCCACTTGTAAAACAAAGCCAAGATGAATAAAGCCAGAGAGCTGAGACTTACATAAGAGGCATTTTCGTTTTCAGTAATTAAGAGTTGAGCCAAGCTGATAAATAATGGTCATCTGGAGCAGAAGCTGGGGTGTGCCTATCTCAAACTGCCCAGGTCTAGCAAGGACGGGTGACTTGTTCCCAGAGTCAGAGCAAGTCAACAGCAGGATGAAGAAAACAGTTTTAAACCGAGATTTCCAAAGGGAAAATTAGGAGCTCAAGTTTCAATACACTTTGGATGAATAGTCTGTACTCCCCATCCAAAGTGGTATCCACTGGGCTATAATGAAAAATTTTATTTTCATTATAGCTGTAAATTTTTATTATTTTTTTTAAATAACATCCTCAAACTCCAGGAGTCCAAACAATTTCCAAAATTAACAGGGTACTACTTTGGGGAACCTGAAAGAATCATTTAGGAAAGAATTTTTGGCAGATGCTCAAGGTTACACTTGTGGCTGCAAACCTGCCTAGAGGTTCGTCGTGAACTGCTTGATATGTGCTGGATATTGGTGTACGGGAGAGAAAAAACCTAAATGGCTTAAGTTAGCCACTGTGTTTACCAGGTTGGGCATTTCTGCCCCTTGCACCAAAGTGAGTATTTGCTCACATGTCTCAGTGTAAGTACCCACTGGAAAGTGCTGAACTTCTTTAAGTGCACGACCATGAAAGGACGCCTCCTTGAGTTGTGCTAGATCAAAGCCTAACAGCCATCACTGAGCACAAAACATGATTGATAGACGTGAGAATTGCAGAGCCCTGAGGTTAACCAAGTCAGTGTCCGCAGACACGGATGGGGAATAGCTTCTGGTAAAGCAAAGCCCCAAAAAAATACACCATTCTCATATAATGGAAGAAAAAAACCTGTCAGCTATTTGGCAGAGCAGTCAGCACGTCAGACTGGGGGTGAAAATGGGAAGTCATGGTGCTATTTCAGACACTTCCCTGTGATCCCTGCCAGCTGCACAGGTGATTTCTCACATCTTTTTCAGAGAGGAGCAACCACTCCGCATACTCACAGCCAACATTTCACAGAGACTGTGTCTGCAGCCACATCCTCCTTGTGCTTGGTGTAAGCCTTGTGCATCCAAACCCCCTACAAATCATTCAAAAAAGCCTCTCAATCCTCAGCTGCAAAACACTGCCTGTGCAAAGTGAAACGCCAGTAATTCAAGCTAAATAGTTTTGAAGGCTGCTGTGGAAAACTGGTCACTGGCTAAAAATACACAAAGCAAAAGTAAATTCCACTCCGATGACGAACATCAGGGGAAAGATTAAGTTAAAGAATTGTGTCAAAAATGAGAAGTATTTTAATTGACAGGACAGAGCTGCTGGGCACTGCCGGGCAGGCAGGGCCTCAGCAGCAGGGCACAAGGTGATGTAGGAGCTCTCAGTCTCAGACAGGATGCTAAAACAGTAACTTCATCTTCTCCCACACTTACCTTTTTCACTGTGAGGGCACAGGGAAATTAAGCCACTCTCAAACACTGCCACACTCATTCTTAAATTGGTTTGGTACAAAATGTAGGTAGTGTGAAATAGGCTAGCTACTAAAAAAGAAATGGTGCTTGCCTTATCTTGCTGCTGAAAATAGTTACTGGTGTGTTGGTTAGAGGGGAATTTTAATGTGATAGAGGGCAAGGATACAAAATCAGTAAGGGAAATTGGAAAACAGTGTTTTTTGGGCAGCACTGAGGCACACCGGCTTAGTAGCAAAGCCTTTCTCTGCAACTTGGTGAGCTTGTCTATCTGCCTTATGAAAGAAACAGCTCAGCTTACATGAAATGGCAGCATATTTAGATGTCTAATAAATACATTTTCTTCTGTATTAAAAACAAAACAAAACACAAAAAAAAAACCCCAAAAAAAACCCAACCAAAAAAACCCAAAACCCAAAACCAGATGTCCCAACCATAATCCTCAAATTAGATGGATAACCGCAAGTTTAGGAAGTGGACATCTCAACCTAGGCACCCGTGGGGAAAGCATCTTCCACCACTGCCATCCAAGTGCTCTCACTGCCTGGAAAACACACACTTTCAAGAAACAAAATGGCTGTTAAAAAATGTGGTTAATGTCAACCTTCATCTTTACGAGCATCAGTGTGGATGGCATCAAATGGCTGTGACTAACCACCTCCACTGCTTCGGCGCCCCAGTGGCGGGGACCCTGCTCGAGCTGTGCCAGGTAAGACCCAAACAGCTCCTCTATCATCTGATAAAAATTTTACATCTCTTGCCTTCCAAGGTGGTCACAGCACTGCTCAGCCTGAAGCAGACAGGGATGCCTCCCCCTGCCCATGCACCGCTCTGCAGTGAAGTAGAACTGCATTGCTCTGGCCAGAGAGGACCCAAAGCGGATCTCGAGGGTGATGTCACTTCTACCCCCTCGATGTTGCACGTGCAGACCAGATTGCAGCGAGATGAACTCCAAAGGCAAATGTGAGCTTACACAAACATCTTTTTTTAACCTCCCCATCTCCCTTCTTTGTGCTGATCACACAGTTGGCAGCCGGGACTTCTAATAGAGCTCCACTTCTTTATTTTTTTGGCATTCCCCAGTCAGCAACAAATGTCAAAAAAAAAAGGTGTCATTTGCTCCTTCCATTTAATTTTGCTTAGGAAAACATACTCCTTTAGCATCTAATCTCACACATTCCTGAGTAATGTCAGCTTCAGGGCTTGAAGACATTTGCCACTTTTCAGGATCAGGCCCAGAAGCTTAGTGGGGTAATGGTACCACATCACTTGACACAATGCAAACTTGCCTTGAAATCACCAGTAAAATGTATTTACTTTCATATGAAATTTGGGGAGTTGATTTAAGAGCACTCCCTGTTTCACCAAGGTATCAAATGTCATATGATGCAGTGGTTGTTATGGCAACAACCTTTTTTATATTTAATAGTAAATGGCTACAAAAAAGCCACATAATTTTATGGTTGCTCCCAAGGGATCACATAACTAATGTAAAATCTCTCGTTTTAATATATTTTCTGCTTCTTTCTCCATTCCTTCTATTCTTTCAAAGTGAAAAAGCCTTTGAGCTGAGGCTGGCCCTTGTCCCACAGTGGGAAAATGAGCATGGACATGAAGGACCAGAACAAAAACACAACGTTTCAGTCTCCCATGTGAAAAAAAAAGAGTATGATACTCAACAAGGCTCTTCCAGAATCACAACCACTGCTGCAGTTTATCTCTTAGTATTTAAAGCATTTAATGGTTATCAGCCATCCCAAACCTAACTTTTATTTATGAAGTAGATAGTACAGGAGTTGCCCCACATGTGCTGCCCAGGATGCAGGCAACATCTCCAGGGGAGAGTTGGTGGGAGCGCAACACTCACTGCATCTACCTCAGGAGCTCACAGAGATGCATTACTTCAAAATAAGCAATTAAACTCATAGAATCATTTAGGTTGGAAAGCATCATAAAATGGTTTGTGTTGGAAGGGATCTTAAAGCTCATCCAATTCCAATCCCCTGCCACAAACAGGAACATCCTCTACTACAGCAAGTTGCTCCA